TGCCAGTTCAGTTTGACTCTGACCTCCTTGCCCATCGCCCCTTCCCCGCATTCCTTGTGTGGCATTAATTTCCTGTCCAAGAGCCTTCCAGAAGCCAGGAGAAGACAGTATCAGAATTTGCAGAGGTCCTCTGCCTCACACAATGTGTGGTGGCCATGACCCAAGAAGGTGACCAAGGGGAAGCCATCCCACGCCAGCACCTGCTTTGGAGCCTGCCTCTCCTCTCCTCTCCTCTCCTCTCCACTTCTCCACGACGGGTGCCGTGCTCAGCAAGTCACACAGCACGGCTGGCAGAGCCGCCTGACTCATTTTTCTCTACTCCTCCAGCTGATGTGTTTAGAGGAACACGCTGCTCTGACAAGGTGACACATCCTGAGAAAGCCCACACTGCTGAAGACATCTCCCTGCTCCTTCTACCAGGAGCGCCCAGTTCAATAGCAGTTCGCAGCTCTTTTTCATTCCTCCTCAGTCAAATAAGCCCCAAGCATATCTGTTTGATTTTCCTGAGGGATATAGAAGAGATGTCAATCAGGAGAGAGGAGCCCTGAAATTCCTCATTTTGAAGGCATCTCATAAATACACAGATGTCAGCAGAGGCACTTGGAAAGGAAGGGCAATTGCTAACGGAGAAACTGCATTAAAAACCTAGTGTGACTGCTGTTCGGCTGCAGCAGCGTTAGCAGCCTATATTGGATTCTTCTTTTGGCAGAGGCAACAGCCCTTGAATCAGTTGGTTTGGCTCAATCCGTTGTGGAATAATTAAGTTCAGTCCATTGCATTTCATAAACTGGAGTTTCTTCAACTTGCTTCCACAGTAAAGTACTTAATCTTCTCTGGGAGGGGTTACAAACATGAAATTAAGTCAGTGCAAATGTATCAGGAGCCTAAGCAACAAGAGGATGAAGAGAGAAGTGTACAAGAGGTCAGCAGCCTGTCTCTGCTTTGATGCCTCTGACTTGCAGAGGAAGGAAAGGAGAAAACCATGGTGTTGCACACATTTGAAATGTCCCGGGAGCCAGCAACAGTTCCCATCTGCAGAGCAGCTCTCGTAAATACTGAGGATTTACCCATCAAACTCAAGTTTGGAAATGTGCCTGGATGTTTCCAAGGAATCTGAGGAAAGATGTTTCTTTTTCTGGACAATGAAAACTATCACATTTCCTGGCTACAGCAGGGATCTCTAAATTGAAAAAATGTGCAAATGTGTTTTACCAGGAGTGGGCACATCCCAAACAAGGGTAATCAGAGAAACTCTTTTCAGCACTGCTCTATTTACATGTGTCACAGATTGAAGAGGAAAATCTTTTCCCCAGTTGCCTTGGTGTATAATCGTAAACGCCCTTGCTAAGTCCTCTTGCAGCTTTGGGAAGTGAGACCAAAGCACCTATTGGCACCTATGGGCTTTACTCACACTGTGAACCTGGCAGCTATGTTGGGGGAGCAACTAGGGACAGTGTTGGATTGAAATGAACCTCTTTCAGCTATAAAAAATGATCATAGCTCCCTCCCTTGCTCTTCAAGGGTGATAATACCATGGGAATCCTTATCACGGGCACACTAAAGGACTGTTGCTGGCTCACAGAGGTGCACAACACCCAGCCCAGCTATTCACAGCTGGTGAGCGGATCATACCCAAAGCCAGCTTTACTCTCTGAGCTAATAAAATAACAGATGCCATTAAGAGCAGTTCTTTCAGCTTCATGTTGCAGGTCACCCCAGGGAGAACAGAGGGAAGCCCACACGAGAGCAGGGAAAAACTCCATCACCACTGCAGCAAACTCACAAGGAATGCTTCTGTCAGGGAAAAGTGTCCTCCAGAGCCGCACTCGGACTGGGGTGTCCCTTGGACAATGGTGCTGCTGCCAATTGAGCTGAGATTTCTGCCTCACAAACAGCTTCTTGAGTTGCTCTTGGCATTGACTTTTTCCTGTTCTGTTAATTAAAAATCTGTCTTTGAGTCATAAGCCCCCATTAGTAATAATTTGCTTTGCACTTCTCCAGTGATTTATGGCTGAGATATCAAAGTGCTTTAGAAACATTAATTAATCCTTCTAATACTCAAGGGACTGATCCACTCTCCACAATGCACCATTGGTGGAGTAAATGTAGGAAATCCTCAGGGTTTACTCCAAAGTGCAGGTAGGGAGAGGGGAAGGGAGCAGCATCCGACCCAATGAGCTCATTTCAGCTGCTGCCTGCACTCAGAGAGATGTGCAGTCACAATAACAGCACTGAACGTGCAGCCACAAGCGAGCACAAGGCATGTCCAAGCTCTCTGCTCTCCAGCAGCAGTTCTTACTGCTGTCCCTATCTGTCTGGGGTGGGAAGGGGAGCTGTGACACACCAGCTCTGCTCTGCAGACCATGCCACGAAAGGTGTGTGTGGACCAAAGCCATCTTCACCCAGAGCCCTGCAAGTGGCAGTGTCATTAATCAAAGCCACACTACTCATGCTAACACATGTGCTTCCCCACCATCCTGCCCATTTCTCCAACCTGCTCTTGTATACAGTCACCTTTTCCCAGCTTGCAGTGCAGACCCAAGGCTGTCTGTCACATCTAAGATGTGGCTCCAGTCCTTGCCAGTGATAAGGACTGTTGCCTCCATTGGCTTCAGAAGGGCTTTCATCCTTGTGCGCACGAATGAGCCATTTGCCACCTGGTGTACTTTGAATGTTGTCATCACAAGACTGTGGGGTGGAGCTGACCATGCAGGGTGGTGCCACAGATGGGGAAAGGTATAAAGGTCCCAGCACAGACTGCTGGAGACAGGGTCTTCTGAAAGCCTGAGAAGTGTCCTCTTTCCTCTTTGCTGTCCCCAGTAAAGCATCATCTTGACCATGAAGGCAACAGGTGTATTCCTGCTCCTCTCCCTGGCACTCTGCTGCTACCAAGGTGAGTGCAACATTCTCCTTAGGAGCCATTTCCTCTCCTTGCTAAAGCTCCCAGGTCTGTTGGGTGGGAAGGTGAGCCTGGGAACAGACCAGCTGGTGCTGGGATCTTGCTCCAGCCCTGGGCAGGGAATACTGGAGAAAGCTGCAATGGCCAACATGCATTAAACCAGCAATCTGTGAGAAAACCTAAAGCAAAGGCTTTAAAAGGGTGCCTGGCACCCGCTCCCAAAACAAGCAGACCTGCTGGGCTGACACTCTTCCTTCAGGGCTGGGATTCAGCTTGGAGCTGGTGATTTCTAGGACACTGAGATTCTTTTAGAGTGAATAGGTGTTATTCTGGATTTAAAAAAGCAAACCCAAGAAGACAAGAAACATATCTATGCAAGGGAAAATGCAGCTCTTGCAACCAAAGTCAATGTTTAAGCCAACTGTGTTTTCTGAATCCCATATGGTACAGAGGGATAAGAACATGAGCTGTTGCTGCTCTTCAGGTCCTGCTCACCAGGGATTTCTGCGTTCATGGGTTCATTCAGAACAGGAGGGTGCTTCTGAAACAAGTCCTTCATCATCCTATTCACTGTGCAGCAGTTGCCATTGCAGAGCTGTCTGAGCACAAAATCTGGATTCATTTCAGATGAACCAAGCATGTAGTGAGCTACAGCTCCTGGGTCTGGATCGATGCTAGTCTAAAGTAAGATCCTTAAAACCCTTAACAGTGTGGCTATGAGGTCCTCAGCACCAAACTGTTTCACTCCACAGACCCACTGCTATTGGGCCACACTGGCTGTTAATGCAGATGTAGCCTAAATCCCTAAATCTTCCATGAAGATTATTTCTAGATCTATAGGCATCCCAAGTTCTTCTCAGTACTGCCTTTTGCCAAACATATTCAGGTTGTTTTTCAAAACACATCCACTGCATGTTCCACCCATGTGATACCAGCTGTCAGCTCAGGGCCAGCTTCTCCATGGAGAAGCCTACCAAAGTCACATCTTGCTCCTACCTTTGGGGTGAGACCTCAGAGTCCATCCATGCCTTCTAGTAGAGACCTTCAACAGCTTTTCTTTTGCTCTGCTTCATTGTGGTACAAACCCACTGACACCAGAAAAATCACCCTGGATTTACTCCCACCAGTCCAGCATCAGCAGGAGTTTCTCAGTTACCAATGAATGTGATAAGGGATAATGAAAGCCACCTTTGCTCCCTGGCAGGTGGCAGGGAAAGTCACTGGAAGTGCCTCTGGCCTTGCACCATCACAGTGTTTCTAAGAGGGGAAAGAGGCAGATGCAGCAGAGCAGGACCCAGCTGCAAAATGGGAGAGATCCAAGGGAAGAAGTTGTTTGCTGGGACAAAGGTGTGAGTGAAGACATATGGTCCTCAGGCTAAAGCATCTTTAGTAGGTCTCCCTTTAAACCAGACCGAGTGATGGGTGCTAAGGCTTCTCTCTCTTTCTCCACTTTTTCTCTAGGAAACGCTGAGACAGATGGAGCTGCTGACCAAGGAACAGAGGTGAAGGCTCTTATTTTTGTGTAGCACAAGGGCGTGCCCAGGTTTGGTGAGACAGAACTAACCCATAGACTGGGGAGCCAGCGTTGCTAAATCAGTGAAGTATAGGGAGCTGCTGAGTTGGCAGCCCAAAGAGGCCAGTGCCTGGGAACCTCCCTCCACCTGCTGTGCCATAGCAAAATCCCAGTGATGGTACTGGTTTCCCACTGCATTTCCCCACACTCAGGGGAGGGAAATGGTTAATAAAGAGATGAATATTGCTGTTACCTGCCAAGAAGATCAGAGCGCCCCTTACTCTCCGGCTTGCGAGGGCAGGTATCATTGTGGCATAAAAACAAGAACTGGGAAGAATGTGATCAGACATTTCCCAGGGAGAATTACTCAATTTTGTCACTCCTAAGGGTGTGCAGGACTGTCAGGTGGTGTTCAGCTGGCCAAGGGACAGCATGGTGACAGGTGGTCATAGCAAAGCTCTGAGCAAGCTGGGATGGGTTATCAAGATATACAAAATATGCACCTCCCTGTGAATGCAAAGCTCTTTTGGTAAACTGAAAGCATGTTTGATATTTTCAGCATTACTTTTTGCACCTCCAGGCAGCTTGTGACAACTATGACCTAAGAAGAGGTTGTACAAGGATCTTCGACCCTGTCTGTGGCACAGACAACCAACTATATGGCAATGAGTGTCTGTTGTGTTTTCATAATCTGTGAGTATCAGGACCTCATATAAGTCTAAATATCATACAGATGAGGGCTACTACATATGTCTGGGATTTCCTAGAAAGCAAGCTGTTTGCGTGCAGCTGGGTGGAGCGTGGGCAGCGAGCCCAGCACATCTGGCATGAATCTGGCCTCCTGTGCAGATGCTGCACCCGCTGCTCTGAGCATGTGGACTCCGTCTGCGAAATGGGTCCTTTGCGCGCGACTCGCAGCACACGAGCTGCCCGCGAGCAGGGAGCACACGGCCAAAATCTCCCCACACCTGCAGCTGCCAGGCTGCAGCAATTGCTCAGACTGTGCTGGCGGGTGTCCAGGACCTCAGATAAATGGCAAAGTCCTCAAAGTTTGCCCAGATCTAGCTTGCAGGAAGAAAAATATTTTTCCAGGTGACCTCAGATGTGTGGTGGCTGAGGAAAAAGTATAGTTATTCACCCCAGCAATTTATAGCTGAGCCCTGCTTTCTGTCTTCTCTGCATATGAAAAGATACAATTTGCTCTGGGTATTTTTAAGAATGAGCCTTATATTTAATCTGTGCTGGTGCCAGATTGCACTCTTTTAGCAGAAGGCTGGGTCCAAATGCTAGTGATGTCTCTGGCAAGACTTAATTCATTTCATCTGGCTAGGGCCCTAGGTAATTTTGAGTATATTTATACATTGCAAGTGCTCTGTGTCAGACAAGTGAAGGAATTGCTTCCAACTCAATGCTATTAGGTGGTTCTAAAATCTCAGTTGGCAAGATTGAGTCTTATCTACAGCCTCAGACTGTGGGGTTAAGGGAGCTTTGCCCTTGACTTTACCTGGTGGAGGCAGAGATTTTTGGTGATCAGGCTCACATGCCCATCTGCCATCAGCAGAGACATCTCTAACAGAAGCTCAAATTCCAGCTTTTCCATCCCTGGATGAATGGGCTTGTGGAGTCAAGTTCTGCTTTTAGGAATACTGCCTCCCAGCTAACTCTGCAGTAACAAGGAACAGAGTCCAAATCACCAGGAAAAAAGCCTGGTTAAGAACTGATGTTCTGGCTCTCCCCTCTTTCCTTCACTAACCCAGGCTGCTGCTCCATATTCTGCTCCTGGCCTGCTCAAATGATGGTTTTACATTTTAAGGCTGAAGATGATGCAGTCAGGCAGAGAGACATGCTGAGTGGGATCTTCTGAATGAAGGCGCCAGGGCTAATGACCCGGCGCGGCATGGCACGGTGGTAATGACCGCGCTGGAAGCCAGCAGCCCAGCACCAGCTGTCTGCTGTATTGTGCAACAGATGGGGGTGGGAGGTTCATCAGACACAACATCGTTAGGGCTTTGGCCATGAACCAAGAGCAGGGTAAAGAGAGCGAGGAAGGCTTCAAAGCCAGCTATGTAGGGAGCAAAGTGGCACCAAGGATGCCATGCCCCCCCAGTGTGAAGCACGGCTTCAGAGAGGATGGAGGACCTCAGTCACCACAGGAGGGAAGGTTTGGGTACAGAAAAGAAAAGGACTGAGCTGGTAGTGTATCCAGACCCAGCTGGGAGTCAGAGGAGGGAAGGGATGGACAAGAAGCTGGTGCTGGCACCCGCCTTGCATTGACAGATGCTGCGTCCCTGCACTTCTTCAAATGTTTGTGCAGCAGCTGCAGCTGGAAACGTGCTGCTCCCGTGGGTCAAAGCCCTGAGCCTTGCAGATCCCCTGGAACATTCCCAAGCAAAGAAGTCTTTGGGTTAGGAACAAGAGCATTTAACCTCCCAGTCAGGGCGATCTGGGCCAGGCACCAGGGCTCTGAAGCTGCCTGGTGCCAAATGTCTCAGGGGAGAGATAAATGGAGTATCCTCGTTTAAAAGGTTTGGCCCACGGGAAAAGTCAGGTTGCCAAGAGGCGGGATGAAGTGTCATTTGCAGTTTTGTGTGTACAACTGGTCTGACAAGAGCTGGAGGCCTGCAAGGAGTCTGGGATTAACCACAGCGAGAGCATCTGGCGGGTCCCTGTGGCAGCGGTGTCTCACTTGTCACCTCTGGTCACTTCACTGTGACCAGCATGCAAAATGCTTTTTGCAAAACGCAAAACAGCTTGAAAATCATTTTACCCATATTTCTCAATGCACCTGAGAAATGGGTTTGTCTTTCCAAAGAGGAGAAAATCGTGATTCTATGTGAAAATTGAACAATTCAAAGTAATTAGGTCCACTACTGGACAAAAAATAATAACAATTTTTTGCAGGTGCCTTTTTAATATTTTCCTCGCTTTTGCTGCAGAAGCAATCAGGAGAGGAGGCTGGGAGCAGGCCCAAGCAAGACACAATGGCAGGCATTTGTCTGTAAAAACCCACACAACAAAGTCATAACCTTTATCGTCTGCAGCCAGACAGGCATTAGAGGTGTCTTAGTGCTGTCCTACAGCACAGAAGTGAATTATTCTGCCAGGAGGTGTCAGGAAGCGCCAGCTCTTGAGCTTATTGGAATTAATTAATACATGTCCATGGTAACCCCGAACTCCCTGTCAAGAATATATGGCCTTACTTACTGTAAATAACACTTATCTTTGAATTTAAGCAGTATTCTCCTTCCTTCCTTCCTTTCTTTCTTTCTTTCTTTCTTTCTTTGTCCTCTGAGCCAGGCTTTTCTGTGTATCAGGACATGAAGGCATCCTCTAGCATTTTTAACCTCTCTTCCAGGCAAAGAAACACTAATGTGCGCATAAAGAACAGAGGAATGTGCCAAAATCCCTCTCTTTACTCCGACGCTGATAAAAAATAAAAGGTCAACCATTTTGGAGAAGATAGCACAAAGCTGTCCCTCACCTACACCAACTCCTAATAAAATGGAAGCATTGCCATGTCTTGTGCTGGGATTTCTTACGCACACAGCAGATCCTTTTCCCTGACATTTAAAATACCTTCCTGAAATATACGGTTTGCTTTGGTAACATCCATAAAGAGCTGTGAGCAAATTACTGACAGAGCCCCAGGGACAAGGCTAGGACATGCCCAAGGAGGCAGCCAGGCTCTGGCATAACAAGGAGTCTCTTTTTTGCATCAATAATTTTGTTTTCCTTACCTAAATTTCTAGCATCAAGGAGGATGGTGAAATCTCCTCTTCCAACAGGAGATTATAGCATTCTCATGACTTACAATTATATTTGTTAAATACAGGGCATTTAAAGCCCTTCATCCAGGGAGTTTGCCAGGAGGAAGAGCCCAACAGGTCATCTCCACGCTGACCTGTCTCCAGCCTTGTCCATCTGCCACTGCCCCATCTCACCATCGCTGGGCACCACCAGACTCAGACTTGCCCTGCAGGTCACAGCTACCCAGTGCCTTGGAAAACCAAAAAAGCTCCATTTTTCCAAGCAAAAGTCTTCTTTTCCTCTAGTAGTCTCGTCATTAACCTCACACTGACAAGTCCCCGACTAACCCATGTCCCTCAGCACTGTGTCTACACGTCTCAAATCCCTCCAGGGATGGGGACTCCACCACTGCCCTGGGCAGCCCGTTCCGACACCCCATGCCCGGGCCCCAGGCAGGGGGGATGCGAGTCCTTGGATGGAGAAAGGGAGGAGGTTTCAGCACCGGAGGAGGCTGTTTCGGCACTGGAGGCCGCTGTTGCTCCGCTGGTGCCGGGGCCGATCCCGCAGCTGGATCCCGCAGCTGGCGGCGGGGCGGGAGGGGGGCAGCGATGGACCCTCCACCGGCGAGCACCGAGATGGATGGGGAGGGGGCGGGCTGCTCTTTCCAGCCCTGCAATGAGGCTGGAAGCCGGGGTATCCGAGACGCTCAGCCCACCTACATCCCTGTGCCTCACCCCTCGGGGACCCACGGGCAGCTCTGCAGGGACCTCATGGTCCGGCCGGGGGGTGACAAGGACACGAGAGGCCCCAGAGGGTCTGTCAGCAGGTTCTGTGCTGGAGGGATGTGTCTGCCTGGTGCTGGCACAGCCCTGCCAGTGCTTCCCGGGAGAGCTGGGCACTCCGCTGCTTCTGCCAAAGGAGTCAACCCAAAACAGCCTGGGACAGAGCACTTGGGGCCCAGGGTTGAAGCCTCTTGAGATCCTCCATTAAGTATAGCCCTTGAGTAAATGGCCCTTTGTATTTTGGGAAAACCAAATGCTTTGTTCTTAGTAAACCCTGGACTTCACTTTGCTTGGAAAGACTTGTTTGAGTTCTCTTTACGTTCCTTGAAGAAGTGGTTGAAACACCAAAAAATGCATGACCAAGCTGAGAGGATACTCTAGCATTTGCTTCAAATTCCAAATGCAACCAGATGCAGCTGGGGGGGGCGGGCAGCACAGGCTCCTCTTCCCAGACCTGCCAACAAGTCTGTCTGCGGTCGAGGAAGAGATGAAAAACAACTCACTTTGCCCATATGTAAAATTAATGCATTAAAGGTGGCAGCTCCAAATAGGCTTGGGACTGTAAATTGCGTCGACATCTTTGGAGGAAGGGGATCCTGGAAGAATACCTTCTGCAGCCAGGATATTTCTGATTCTGCTGCATCACAAGAAATGGAGCATAGCTTTTACCTGAAGAGCTCTTTGCAAGTGGGGCTGGCAGGAGAGGAGGCTGAGCCTCCGCACGCTGTTCACTCACTGCTCTTGGACTTTGTGGCATGGCTAAACTTAGCTCCAAACTCATCCAACCTGGTTTCTTCCACCCAGAAAACGCTGGAGAAGTTGCATTGAGGCCAACTTATTCCAAGCAAAACATCTTTCCTGTCCATGCCATTCTGGGGAAAACATTACCCAGTATTAGCCAGGAGCATTTCTTTGATGAAGTGAGGTGCTGACTGAGCTTGCAAAACAGCAAGTCGCATTGGCTGAATGGCTGAGTGCTGGTTGCATCTCCCCAGGCACTGTTCTGACAAG